CTCTGGTCAAACTACCTATAAAATGATTATACTACTAATATTAATCGTAGTACTAGTAGTAGTAGTAGTAGTAGTAGTAGTAATAGTTAGGAGTCCATGAAAACTTCAGTGTAGGGTGGGCAGCTAGTCCAAGGCAAGTGGCGGTAGCTGGGCAAGTGGCGGTGACTGGGGCGTGGGCAACTGGTCTGAAGCAGGGTAGCAGGAGAGCTCCACAGACAATCATCCATCAGTGTCCGGCCGGACAGGTGGGCAGTCGTTTACTCGGAAAAAGGTAGAGAGATGGAATTCGTTTTGTTCTGTTTGGGTGTATGTAAAACAGAGAATGCGAACATTTCCAGAGTGTGGCTAATGACTCCGGCAGATCTGACTATAACAGCTTAACTAAAAGGAGAGAACCAAAAGTCCCTGTAGTTACTAAATAATAAGACTTAGTATGTCATAAGCCTGGGATTTTAAGGGGTTAATGTTTTGGAAAGGCCCAACTGAGATGGCAGGACCTTAAACAGGCAGTTTATGCTCAATTAAAGCAATTTTATGTTTCTGAGTTAAAGCAGTTCTACAAAGAGCGGGCCAAAAGTCTTACACAGTGATGTGAAAGATGGAGCTCCAGTTATAGAAAGTGTTTGATTGTCGTTGCTGCTGCAAAAGGTGGCACAACCAGTTAATAGGTTTAGGGGACCTTCTGTAGGAAGGTAAAGTTACTGTAGCTCCAGATGCACAAACCTCTCAAACAAATGAATAATAATGTGCACAGCTCTTGGTGTTTAGTCCAGGATTAGTGTGCAGAATGAATATAAATGAGTAATTCTCACATAAGTGTTCCTGCACTTGTACAATCATAGTCCAGAGCTTGCTGGAGAAACATAAGCAAGCTCTGTACCACAGAAGCCTTTGCCTCATTCCCATGTGCATTAGTGCTGAATAGTATAGTAGCATAGTAATGTTATAGAAGTTAGGATGGCTAATGCCATTAAATCCTCCTCTATTGTTTAAGCAAAGGCCCTCAAAGCTTCTCCCACTTTAGGAAAACAAATCATTGAACAAACTTAATTCAATTACGCCACACATTTCCATTCAATCAAACAGAGTAGACTCAGCATATACAGACTTTGTTATCTCAGCAAAAACAAAAGTAGTTACAATTAACGTTGACATATTTTCAATTTATAAATCAACCCCCATGATTCATTTTTGAGTGCACAGAAACTTCAAAAGCCTTTTGAGCCAGTGACGATAATTAAATAATGGCATTGTATGTGGCTATGAATCCCAGAACTCACACATCTGCTGTTAGGAACTGTAAACAGTCCTTTCTGTAATTGCTCATACATGCTAAGAGATGCATGTGATGTTGAGAACGGCTGTTAAAGACCATTTTCAGCTATTTCTTTTTCAAAATATCTGCATAATTAAATGTTAAGATGTAAACAAAGTCATTCAGAGTGGTTTGATGTGAAATTCTCCATTCTAGAGAAACTTACGGAGTCAGAATTGTACACAGTGGTGGTGATAGGAACCAGCCATCTGAAGTGTTTATTGCTGTAAATAATATTATAACTATGTATAATTATTGCATTTCACAATGAAATACTTTACTAAATAAATAATTTATATGTGTGGTCAACCAAACACTGTATTCCATTACTGTCGTTCTAGCTGCTACCTCAGTGACAGCTATGCTCAAATATGCTAGGCTAATATGCCATGGTGTGTTACATTCTGCTTTGCACGGCGCTGTAAATTCTCAGTACCGTTTACTGCCTGTGTTCTGTTTTTGTATTTGTTGTAAGTTTTTTGTATTTATTGCACTGTATTGTCTGTACTGTGTATATTGTATTGTTTTGCACTTGTGTTCCTGTGTTTTCCCTGGAGGAATTCACTGTGTACTTGTATATAGCTGAAATGACAAAGCCTCTTGAACTTGAATTTGAGCTTGAATGCTTCTCAAGGTTACCTCACAGAAAGTTATTACTTGAAATGATTGCAGAAACCCTGCCTGATGTCTCAGACATTGTTTCATGACAATTTTGAGAGAAGATTCTGCTCTAAAATATATGTTTAAAATTCATTCATGGTGGTAGGGTACATGCAGGGTGTTGTGAGGCAAAATAGTCCCACAAAGAAAGTGTATTCATCCAGATTTACCACTATTTTGCCCTCATCAACATTACTTATAAAGACTCAGAAGACACGTGTAGGTTCACTGGTGGTTTTGGACAGTAAATAAAACAGCTATATTTGTGCTGTAGACATCACAACCTCTGGTTCCTATCAGCACCACTGTAAAGAAATCTGAAAGTGAGTTTCTCTACAGTGAATCATTTCGCATAAAACCGCTCTAAATGAACAATGTAGCTTATTTAGAAAAAAGAGTGGAATTCCTCTTTAAACTCTGCATCTGCCCCAACATAAAAATCACAGCTAACCTCCATGGAAACACTGACAGATTTGTCTCGACAGTTTCATCTTCTTTCTAACTTTTCTTTTATTCTTGTAAATAGACCAATACTTCACAATATGTTCTGACCCTTTGAACCTTATATAAGGAACATATCCCATACCAATTTCTGCTGGACTATGGGAGCTGTAGAGCATTTATTGGCGATGTTTTTTTGCCAGGCACCAGTGAAACCTCAGAAAGGTCAGTTCCAATTCTGCAGCCTTCCTATAAAGCTTGGAAAAATGCCCTTCACAACAACCTATATGCTTATATCAGATTAATTATTTAAAACCGGCTGTCCCAGCACACTATAACTACTTTTCCCTGAAATATAATCAATAAAATACTTTTAAAATCATATTATTTTTGCATTAAAGTAAGAATTATTTTCACATTTTATGCTTGAAATCACACAAGTCATCAAGTACAGGTTATGAAAAATGTACATTTTAGTCCCTTGACATTCACTGAACCCTGTGACCTGAACACATTCACCCCAGTAAAATATCTAGAATATTCCACAAGTCACTGTTCACCAGGAATTTGCATTATTCATACTCCCTGAAGATCACATTAAGAAGAAAAGTAAATTCCTAAATCTTTTTTTTTATTTTATTGACATTCTGATATTGACTGACAAGGTCTCTTTATAAGTTCAGTCCTGATAACCAAACTGTAGAATAGTAGAACCATATTCTGTGGTTTTGCTAATTCAATCCAAAAAAACCTCAACCCTGTTACTGTCATTGCTGTTGTTCATTTAAGCCACTGTCAGCAAAGAAACCTTGTAGAAATTGAGATATTCTTCCTGAGATGAGCTAACACGTGATTAAAGGCATGTTTTATTGGATTTGGGAAAAATGAGAAAAAGTCAAGTTTAATTTTTAAGAGCTTCAAGGGCTGAGTGGCATCCCGATCATGGAATCACCTCTGTCATGTCTATTTTAATGTGTTAATGTGTGGCAAGCTAGTTAAACTGGATAAACTGAAGTGAAATAGAAAAACAAAACAAGCCTGACAAACTAAATTAAAGGGGAACTCCACTGAAGTTCTGCATAATTCAGTGTTTGAGATGTAAACAAAATCATTCAGAGTGGTTTAATATAAAATAGTGTTTACAACACAAATATAGCCATTTTATTTGCTATCCAAAACCACCAGTGAACTTACACGTGTATTTTGAGTTTTTATAAGTAATGTTGATGAGGGTCAAAGAGTTACCATAAAAAAAGTTTTCTTTGGGGACTATGTTTCTGCACATTGCCCTGCTTGTATCCCTCCACTATGAATTTAAATGATTTATAAATATATTTTAGGCCAAAACTTTCAATAAACTACCATAAAACGGTGCCTCAGGCATCAGGCAGCATATTCACCACCATGGGATAAATTTCTGTGAGGGAGCTTTAAGAGGCATTAAACTCTTCAGACATCTGGTTCCTATCACCACCACTGTGAAAACTCAGACTTGATTTGTGTCTCTAGAGCAGAGCATTTCACACCAAACGGAGTGCCTACTGGTGACATCCCATATAAATAAAAATAGCGGCCACGCCTTATTAACGTGTGGGAACGAGATCCTAATGCGTGGCCATGACTCAGGCATGAGAATGAGATAATTAAGTCATGGCCACAATTTAGTAAGACGTGGGAACAAGATCATGCCTTGTTAAGTCGTGGCCATACATTAGGATCTTGTTCCCATGCCTTACGAAGTCACATTTAGTAAGGCAAGGGATCGAGATCATGTCTTATTAAGCTTGTTATGTTCTTTATTGGTCCTACAAAAGAAATTTGTCATTTTGCTGCCTAAATATGCCCAATCAGGGAGCAGCACAGCATAGCCAACAGAGCAGCACCACCTGCGGCAGTGGGGGTTAAGTGCCTTGCCCAAGGGCACAACCAGGTATACCTAGCCAGGTCATGGGATTTGAACCCACAACCTTCCGGTTGATGGCGCACTTCTCCTACCACTAGGCTACCAGCCACCCAAGCTGTGGTTAAGGCTTAATTATCTTGTGGCCATGCCTTACTAAGACTTACTAAGTCGCATTATTTTAATTTATGTCACCAGCAGGGCTCCGTAGAATGACTTAGTTTACATCACGCAGAAATTTGGAAAAGTTGGTGGAATTCCCCTTTAACTATGCCAAAAGACCGTCAGTCTGCAGGGTTTGAGTTTCAAGCTAAAAGTCAGCCACAACATAATCATGCATTACTTATTCCCACCTCTATTCCGACAAGCCCCGCCCCTCGATTGGTTAGTAGTCCATAATCGCAGGGAGGCCGCCTATGGGCTGGCCAATCGTGGAGCAGGAGGGCGGGGCCTGTCTGAATACGGGTGGGGAATAACAAAATTAGGCGGTATTTTCAGAAGAGCTGCCGCTGTGGCTTCAGTTCAGTTGAGCTGTGAGGACGAAGAGACTGATATGAGTTCCTTCAGCTGCTGGAAGCGGTTCTTCAAACCATGACTGACGCTCAACAGGTCCGGCTGAGATGCCAGCTTTGCTGTGAACACAGTTAAAGTCGTTACAGTGCAGCCGTGTAGTTAAATGAGCAAATGGGGAACAGTGTGTTGGAGGTCAACATCAGCCGGGACTACGTCCAGAACAGCTCGGCTAAGATCAGGCAGGACTTCGCCTTCACTGCGCCCGTTCTGGCGCTGCTTATCGCCGTCATGGTGGTGCTGATCGGGGTCATCGTGCTGGGCAACGCGCTGGTCATCTTCGCCTTCAAGATGGACAGGAGTCTGAGGAGGCAGAGCAACTACTTCTTACTCAACCTGGCCATCTCTGATTTTCTTGTCGGTAAGTGCGGTTTGCTTTAGCTGACCTCTCCTTAACCCCTGTGGAAAACTAAGTTATCTCACAGGGTCAGCTGTGCTTCCTGTCTGCTCTTCTGGGAAAAAAAACATAAGTTTTTATCATTTTTTAGCCAAAAAAAGGCAAAGATAAGGTTGCTGTTGGAATAGTTCTTTTGCACTTGCTGCCTAAAATGTGACTGATCTTGTTAAATTCACTCCTCAGGATTTTTCAGTTCTTGTTATTTTGTTATTGTCCAAACAAATTGACTTTATATTAACAAATAGCAGTTAAATAGTACAGGACAGTCCTGTGTAAAACTTATAGACCACCCTTTCTGTTCAGTCAATGGTCAAGTACAAGCAATTCATTTTAAAAAAACAACCAAAACAAAAGAGGAGTTTCCAAAACTGGAGTTTAAAAAAATGATTAAAAGCTGCAGAGAAGATGTGACTCCAAACAACCACCTGGAAGACCTGGTAGACACCAAAACTGCCCCCATCAGATAAACTGCACTTAAAGCTTTTGTCTTTGAGAGAGAGGAGAAAATCAAGCTGCTTCAGATCTGAAAACATCCATAGATTTTTCTGCCCATCCTTCCACTGTGAGAAGACAACTCAGCGCTATGGGTCTGAAAGAAAGTGTAGCTTCCATGAAGCCTCACTGAGAAAAGGAGAAGCTGCTGGTGTTTCTCAGAACAATGGACTGACCACCCCAGAGTCCAGACCTCAACATCACTGAATGTGTTTGATTACTCGGATGATGAGAAGCAGAAAATGTTAAACCAACTTCAAAGACTGAACTTTGGAGGTGTGGAAAAATATCCCTGCAGATTTCCTTGAAAAACTGAAAGTCTACTGAAAAGAATGGAGGCTGGAATAAAGGTAAAACGTGGACACAAGAAATACTGAAAAAATATTAAATCTAGCTGTTGAGGCTTCTGTGGAGTTTTCTGTATTTATGTGTTTTCTTAAAAATAAATAACTTGTACTGTAGTTTTGACTAAAAATGAACTAAATGAAGGGTGATCTCTGGCTTTTGCACAATACAGTATTACCTATTTATCATATTAGTAAAACATCGCTTTGAGTTATTTTCATTATATTTATGTGTAAATCCTTCCAGGAAAAAGCAGCAAAACAAAGTAAAATGCCAAAAAAAAGTATTATAATCATGTGTGCAAATGTATGCATGAGTGCCTGTGGTGCCTGAGCTGGGTAATTAAATGCCTTTACAGCGTTAAAGGTTAGACTGAGTATTTTTGTACCATGTTTCAGTGTGTCAGGGAGGTGTCCTGCTGTCATTTCCCCCAGGCTCTCTGTTTCATGATTGAATTGGCGCTGAGTAATTTACTGCAGCATCCTCGTTCAGGATCTACCGCAGGAGTGGGTGAGGGGAGCTGCCAAAGCCTGTCCAGTGTGAAAATTTAAATCTTCCAGTTTAGTGACATGTCATTCATTTTTATTTCCGTGTTGACAGGTTTGTGTGGGAAGCAAATGTTCCAAAATGCGTAGATTGTTATTTTTTTGTCAAGAAGTGTTGCCAAAATAAGTGATTTAATCCGTATAGTCAGTAACCCGGAGGTTTGATTCCAGAATTGCCTTCAGCTAATGAATGCTTTCCATTTCGTTACTGCTTTCAATTTTCAGTGTTTTCCACACTGAGGAATGTAATGTGGAATTGAAACCCCTCTTGAGGAAACACAGGAAAATGGAACTAAACTGGAAATGCACCTCAGAATAGAATAGAATAGAATAGAATAGAATGCCTGTATTGTCATTGTATAAAATATACAACTAAATTAAGAGTACAACACTTAATCAGTGCAAACCAAGACAGACAAACAAGTAAAGAACTGTAAAAAACATATTGCACTAAAATGTAATAATAATATAAAATTATTAAAAAAAAAAAAAAAAACTTTTACTAATAAACTAAGTTCAACAAGTGGCGGAAGTCCTCATGTCTTATGTGCTTATTCCAGTGTTTACTACTCATAAAAACTTAGTGTGTGTGGCTTTTGTGTGGTTTGTCCGGCTTTTGATGCACCTGTACCGTCTGGCAGACGGCAGGAGACTGAACAGTTGGTGTCCAGGATGGTAAGGGTCCTTTGTTATTTTCCTGGCTCTGCTGAGGCACCGGGAGCGGGAGATGTCTTCCAGAGAGGGCAGAGGGCAGCTGATGATTTTTTGAGCAGTATTAATGACCTTCTGTAGAGTTCTCCTATCGGCTACTGAGCAGCCAGCGTAACACACTGTAATGCAGTACGCCAGTGCACTCTCATAAGGGACGCCAGTGTACGGCAGTACACTCTCAGAAGAATTCCATGAAATTCCAGTGTAGCATAGGGTGTGAAGGCAGCTCAGACTGATTAGGTGCTTTAAGTACAGTTGACAGCATGAATGGAGGTGTCAAAACTGCTAGTTCTACCTTAACTGTTAAAGAATTCAATTTATCATTCCCTGCAGCACTGAATGCAGTAACACCTTCATCTCTCGAGAATGCTTATGTCAAGCTGTATTCATCACTGTGTGTAGTATACATGGGGGTTGTGTGCTGATATCCAGTATTTTTTATGTGTATATATATTTATAATGTAGAAACTGGGACTGAAAACACCTGGCATAGCCTTACAGAGAATTATTGAATATATTTGCAAAGGTTTAAAGTGCAGTAAAATGAATGCAATGCAGACATTTTAGCATATTAGTTTCGCATCGCCTAAATATTCTTCTCTTCTAAAGTAAAATATATATGTTATCAAAAATTGGTTTGAAACATCTGTCAAAATTAAATATCTGTCAAAATTAAACATCTGTCCGATGCTGATCATCTTTAAAGCAGTTATCTGCCCATAGAAATATTCCAATATTATTGTGCACCTCTAGTGTATAGTGTAAGGTGAAAACCAGTAATACACCCTTTTTGAGACCAAAGTTATTCTCAGCAGTTTTTTATAATCGTTGTCTGTGCAGATTTTGTCGGTCTCCATTCTTTTCTTCAATGAACAATGTTTCAGACCACAGCATGTTGTAGTTCATAAGCATGCAAACATGCCTTTATAAATACACTCACTTACTTCATTAGAAACATCTACAGTGGCCCCCAGAAGGTTTGGACTCTTCTACACTGTTAGAAATAAAGGTACAGTACAGGTACATTTTTCATTCATGAAGGTACGAACAATGTAAATGTTCTCTCAAAGGTACAACAGAGGTTTTAAAGTCCAGATGTAAACCTTAAATAAGTTTTTCCAGGTGAAAAGTACAGATTTGTACCTTTTCATAACCGAATATTTTAAAAAAGAACAATAAAATAAAAGCCTGGAGACGAGACGGGGTGTGTGGAGTCAGTACAACTTAGAAATATAATTTCAGTGGATTATGGTACAGTTATGTTCCCTGACTAAAGGCACTGAGATGTACCCTTGAGGGGACCACCCCAGTGACAAGAGGGCCACTGCACCAGTGACAGTTTCATACCTTTATTTCTGAGAGTGTAGCTGTTGGTAAACTTCAATGAAGTTCTTATGTAACTTCATAGTTTTTTTTTAATAGAATGGTATTTGTTTTAGGGAAAAACACTTTTGCACAACACCAAACTGATGATAGACTCGTTGTGTGGAGAAGAATTCCATCCAGAAACGTCAAAGACAGGGTCTGGTTTTCTTACATGGGTGACAGTGAGCTTGAGATCATGAACTCAGAAGTGTATGAGGACATTTTGATGCAAGCCTGCAGACGTGTGTAAATAAACTACTCGAACAACAATGATCTGAAATAAATAGAACAGATAAATAAACAGAATAAATGCCTCTTGGTTTAACATTCGTAGCACAATAAAAATATGTTTTAATCATGCCACAAATGTCCAAATACTTTTTGGGGACCTCTGTATCTTGTGCTTCTACTCACAGGCCATTTTGTGAGCCTCACCTACCTGATAGGTCCAATGTATAGGTGTACCAAAACTGACTGAAGTCCACCTTTTGGTACTCAATTTCACCCCCCACCCCGTTTATTGGATCATATGGGTTGGTTTCTGACCACAGGACAGATGTTGTCCAGATATTATTTGGGTGGCAGATCATTTTCAGCACAGCAGTGACCCTGATATGGCAGTGTGTGTATCAGACACAGTGTGCTTGAAGTGTTTGAGTGTATCAGACACAGCAGTGTTTCTGAGTCTTTACACATCAGTGGCACTTCTAGATTGACAGCGGACTAGTACCCAAATAATATCTGGACGACAGAGGTCCTGTGGTCCGAAACTGACCAGTGATGGAGGGCCAGAGGATAGCTAGTGCAGACTGTGCATCTAACTGTATGCTAGCAAGGTGGGGCCACAAGAGAGGGCCCTTTAGAAATGTAGTACTGTGCAAAAGTCAGAGATCACCATTTGTTTATTTCATTTCTGGTAAAAATGGACATTAAGTATGTTAAGTTATTCACCATCTAAATTTCAGATCTTTTTTCAGTATTTAGTGCATAAATTCTACCTTTATTACAGCTTCCCTTCTTTTCAGGAGACTTGCTTTCAGCTTTTACAGAAATCTGCAGGGATATTTTTTACACATCTTCAAAGTTTCGTCTTAGATGTTGGTTTAGCATTTTCCGCTTCTCACAATCAAAATGATCAAACACATTCAGTGATGTTGAGACCTGGACTGGGGTGGTCAGTCTATTGTTCTGAGAACACCAGCAGCTGCTTTGTTTGATTGGCAAATTCTTTTTCATGTGTTTTTCTCAGTAAAGGCTTTCTGTCAGCTACACATCCTTCTATATTAGTCTCCTCAATAATACCTCCTGATAAATTAATAACTAGTACTTGCATTGGAAGTTTTGAGTGGAAATAAAATTAATGAAGGGTCTCTGACACAGTTTTACACACTACTGTATACATATGAATCTACGGGATGTGATGCTGTGCATCACATATAATCTAACAGGGCAATGAGGAATTATAAACATTTCTCTTGTATAATAAACAAGTTTTCTCTTCCATTT